ATATTATGTCGGTGCATAAGAAATATCATATTAGAAATTGAGAGGGCGACGTTTCATATACATTGAATACAAATGAAATTAAAAAAGTCTTCTTACGAGTCGCGTCTAAAGTCAGACCGGGAGGGCATTCGCAACGGTAGGATCCGTCGGTGTTAACGCAGGTACCACCACCCTTGCAGATACCGCTGTTCAATTCGCACTCGTTCACGTCCACGCAATCCTTGCCAGCGAACTTCGCATATCCTTTCGAGCACTCACAGACAGAGTGATCGCAAAGTTCGCAAGGACTTCCCCAAGCGACACCCACGGAGCAACAGCACTCCGACTTGAGTGCCAATCGTGGCAGATTATATTCGCATCGACCGTCTACCATCTTAGTCCAGCAGGAACCTCTCCTGTTGTCTGAAATTCCAATTATTCTGACTCCTTGCCCGTTTTTCATAGTACGTCGAACGGTTAATTATCTGTTACCCATGCATAAGCGTCCGGTGTGATCTAAAGCGTAACCAGGGGAACACTCGCACTCGTAGGAACCCGGAGTATTTATGCAGATTCCGTTTAAGCAGACATCTGGCTCAAATTCCTCGCACTCGTCTATGTCTTCGCACATGTGGTTCTTCGAGTTCAATCGCGTACCACTCGGACAGACACACTGTGCAAATATCATTGATCTTTTCAAATTTCTACTATGAACAAAGCGTGTCCTCCAACTATGTGCAAGTCTCTCATCTTCGATTTCTACGACATACTATTTACTTGCCTGAAAGCTACCAGGGGTGTTTCGGCAATGACCACCGCTGCATAGAGAACCCTCGAGTTCGCACTCGTTTATGTCGCTACACAGTTTCCCGGTGGCGTCCACTTCGTATCCACTGTCGCAGATGCAACGATAGGTCCCCATGAGATTCTCGCAACCACCGTTCACGCAAATGTTCGGATTTTGCGCGCATTCATTGATATCTGTTTTGTTAGATTAATCGTGAAATTATTGAAACACAAAATTGATTGAAATCAGTTATCGATTATACTAATTAGTGTGCATATAATTTTATAGCAATTATTTATTATATTTATTTAATCACCGTCGCCATTGTATGTCATTCCGGCGCCATGCGGGCACAAAGAATCGAATTCGGTGGTGCCCGGAAGCGGACAGGCTTGACAGGTACTTCCCCAGCCCATTGGTTGTCCAAGTATCACAGTGCAACAGCAACAACTCGATTTCGTCACCGCCGTCGATGTAGGATTTGAACATTGTCCGTCTTTGTACTGCGAGTAGCATAAATCCCTTCTCGTGTCTGATAACAATTCATATATTTATAGGATCATACTTTACTGGAAAACTAGATTCGATATAAAATTGAAATCAACCTAAACAAGACCTTCCATCCAGTCCTAAATTGAACCCTGCGAGGCACTCGCACCGGAAACTGCCAGGAGTATTGATGCAGTGACCATTCTGACATGGTCCGCTTAGGCATTCGTCAATATCTGTCAACGAATGGAAATTTTGCTCTATTGATAGTAAAATGAATGTGAATAAAACGGAGGAAAGTGTGCATACCGATGCAGTGACTTTGATCGGGCCCGATCCGGAAACCGGAGTCGCAGACGCATTTGAAGGAACCTTCCATGTTAACGCATTTCCCATTTTCGCACATCCCGCTCGTGGAACACTCGTCCATGTCCACGCAGAACGTGTTGTCACGCGAAGCGGTGAATCCGGATTGGCAAATGCAATGATACGATCCCGGTGTGTTCTCGCATCGACCGTTCAAACAGATTCTTGGATTGTCGGCACATTCGTTAATGTCTGTACGATAAACGAAAGATTAATTATGTTGATTTTCTATATTGGTTTTTTATGCTTACCGATGCAAGTATTTTTCGTAGGGGACAAAGCGTAGCCGTCGTTGCACTTGCACTTGAACGATCCATTCATATTGATACAATGTCCGTTATTGCACATTCCCGTATCCTGACATTCGTCGTGATCTATCAAATCAAGAATGCTGATATTCGTATTCGTCTTCTTTTATTAGGATTGTTAACATTTTAAAATAAAAATCGCATACCCGTGCAGTATCTTCCTTCGCCGGAAACGACGAATCCCGGCGGACACTGGCACGTGAAGCTCCCCTCGTAATTTTGACACGTGCCACCTTGACAGTATCCCAACAGACACTCGTCGATGTCTTCGCATCTGCCGGCTTTCTTCGTGAATCCGGGATAACAATCGCACTCGTATCCGTCTTTAGTGTCGATGCACTTCCCGTTTCCGCAAATGTCCGGCCTCAACGCGCACTCGTTTATCGCGATGATCGGCTGCAGTTGTTGCAAGCAAAGCCTGTTGTAATCGTCTATAATTGAGTAAATAACACGTGTCCCGTTACTCGCCGTTACTGGTGAACATTATCACCGTCGTCTCGTTACCTTCCTACTTTCGCGTTTCAGCTCGCAAATTTTTCGTTTAACAATTTTTCCTGTTCTACGTACCGCTTCCGGGATTCGGACAAATGTAGCACTGATCGCCCCAACCGCGTCCCATATTTTTCCCGCAACAGCAATCTTTTTTACTCAGCCTCATCGCCAGTCGATTCTTGCATTGCCCGTTTCTGTTCACGGACGTATAACACAGTCCCTGTCTCCCGTCTATCAATTTCACTGACTTAGATATACGATTAATTAAATAAAGATTTGTATCTCGTTAACGCTCTTACCGATGCAGAATTTTCGATCCTGACTCTGAATGAAGCCCGGGTTGCACAGGCAATAATAGCCACCGTTCGTGTTGATGCATCGTCCGTCCGTGCAGATTCCTTCCTCCTGACACTCGTCTCTATCTTTGCACGAATTCGTGTCAGGATCTCTGGCCTGCCCGTCAGGACATTCGCAAGTGAACGAACCAGGGGTGTTAACGCATTTTCCACCCTCGCACAGACCTGGTATCGCCTCGCACTCATTGATATCTACCAGTGAGCGATAAAAATTCTAACGTCACTGTTTTTAAAAGAATAACATAACATTTTTATTCTATCAATGCTTACCAACGCACTGGCCTTGGTTCGTCTTTAAGTGACCCAGCTCGCAGTCGAGCCTGGCTGGACACCTCTCGCAGGGGTGGCCCCAACCTTTGCCCACGGTAGCGCAGCACAACTGGCGCGTGCAAACAACACCCTGTAGGTTCGCCAAACACTGACCATTTTTCACTTTCGTGTAACACGGCCCGGTTCTGCAACAACAATTATCCAAAGGACCATGTCGCTCAAGTAAATTCAGGAAACTTAATTATTTACCTGTAATCCGTTTCGCATCGCCTACCCGTATAGCCGTAAATGCACGCGCAGCGATCCGGACCTATACATCTTCCCTGGTGCAAGCACGGTTCTCGACAGATCGCTAGTTTTCAAAGAAAATTTAACACTCATCCGTGATAAAGATGTTTGTATAAAAAAGCTTTACGACTCACGTTCGTTACAAAATTCTCCCTGATACCCGCTACGACATTGGCATCTCCCGTCCACGCAGTTCCCGTTTATACAGTGCACTCTGCATCTTCCAGATTCACTCTTGTCTAACGCGTTCCCACTTTCGTGCGTGGAAACTACGAGTAATCGAGTTTTTTTCATGTACTGTTTCAAACACGATTCCCTCAAAAAGTATGTTTAATTTATCGAACCTTTGGTTTGACTGATCGTGCAAGCCGAGGCCACGGTGCCACCTTCGCACAAGCAAATATTTGGCCTTATGCATCTGCCAAGTGGACCGCACCGTCTCGAGCATATAGCTGAAAATTTTGCAAATACACCAACCTACAATGAATATCTTAAAATCGTTTGTTCATCGAGTCATCCCCGATGCATAAAATTATCAACGGATTCGTCAAAAGAATATTTCCTTCTCTAGCCATATTTTTTATAACGTTCGGATGAAAAGTATTGTAGAATCGTTTGGGTGCGATTTAAAAATTGCAACATGGAGATCAATACTGATCGATCGAATCTCGAGGACAATGGCAATCAACAGGAAGCGCGTAACAGGCCATTAAAGCAATTTCGTCGATCGAGAAGTCGATCGTTCGTGTCGCATGAACACCCATTTGCCCATTTGCGTGTTACGCAACCGCAATTATTCATCGCGAGCGCGCGCGCGCGCGCGCGCCTCGATCATCGCGATGCTTGCTTCTCCCTCCGCTCCGCAGATATAATGAACGCTGAAATTGAATGCACTCGAGAGACTTATGAGATCACGTCCAATTACGAGGAGATGGGAAAACTCGATTCCGCGATACGCACGTACGTCGGGGTTCGTACTTACGAATTTCGCAGAGGCCGGTCTCCGGCTTCTTCGTCCAGCCTGGGCAGCAATAATTCTTGAATCTTGACCTGCACACGTTCGGTCTGAAAAATTCCATTCGCAGAAATACAAATTAATACACCTGTCTACTAGGTATTAAGACGAAGGAATCGGATATCAGCGAAACTCGTTGGATTTGCGAACTCACTCGTTCGTTTCGCAAAATATAAATGAGAAAATGGACAGGTATTTAACGTACAAATCGTTGTACAATGCTCAGGATAGCTCTTTATACAACTTATATCTGTACGTACATTGTTTAATATAATGTATGCAAATTGTACTGCGTGAAGTATGGTAAAAGGGTAATTAATTCTTTTCTGTCTGGAGAACAATGCTATTTTCCGAGGACTGTGTAGGCATTTTATGGAAGAACGTATCATCGTGAATCCCTGTGGGACAAAGCTTCTCCTCGCGATTCAAAGGATATTTCAATAAAATGTGAACAGCGTCTTCTGTATGAAGTCATTTAATGATCAGCCTTGTACCGTATTTGAAAATCTGCTTAACGACCTCGCGGATCGAAGCTGTCGTCGATCGAATAAGACCTGCGAAATGACCAGAGCCATACGCGTAAGCACGTAATATTGGAACGGGGAGCAAAAAAAGGGGGTCGTGTTTACGGGCGTGTAAATACGCCGACGCGAAGCGAGCCGCGGCGCCGAGGCGCGTAAGTGGAAGTACACACTCAATACTCGACTCATAGGCCGGGGTTTATAGCAGCTGACGTTAATTACCAGCGGCTCGATGTGAATGGCCGCCTTGTTCCGAGGTGGCACACCGCGCATTCTCCTCCCTTTCTTTCTCTATTTCTCTGTACACGGTACCCGATTCGCTTCGGAGCGAAGCGCGTGCCACGCGTTTACCGGCGCGCCGCAAAAAAAAATCCCGTTTCCGCCTTCCGTTTACGTCGCGCGACCCCATTTTCATCGCGCTATCGTCCAAAATCGCTTTTTCGTTTTCTTTTTCATTTGAACCACTTTCCCACTTATTGGGACTTATAATGACACGATCGAGTAATCTACAATTCGATGATAAATCAATTTCGAAAAGGGTCGTTAATTTACATACAGATTGCTTGTAAAGATATTCCCTCGGCTGTAACTTTCACACCTGTTCGTGTAATTATCGCCGATCCAACGGGTCTCCGTGTAAACTATAATCTTCCAATTAAAAGGCACGACGAGAATCGATCATTGTCGAGAGCCACGGTCTACCGACTTTCAGGATCGAGTTACCCGAGTAATTTATCGTTCCAATATTCATTTAAGTGCAAATCTTGTTACAGAAACCGAGCAAAACGAGTAGTAAAACTTTCAGTAAATGTTATCCGACGCTTGGCATACGTCTAGAAATAATCTCTGAGTATGCTAAAAATGTGTGAACAGAAGCATAAATCTTTTGTAACTTGTCCATGACACCAGTTTTAATTTACGAAATGGTTCGCGGTAACGGCATATAACATTGCTCGTGCAATAATCCAATAATCTAACTTGGCGCAAACCTCGATGCGTGTCTAAACAGCCGCGAGCCAGGCTCGGTGTGGGTTTGAAAGTTCAATTGGAAAGTGCACTTAATGGATCTGAAACGGGCCGCTGGAATTACTCTCGTGATGGCGGATTATGGTTCATTAAAATTAAAGGCGATCAAAAGGCGAGTGCGTTGCGTTTAAAGGTTGAACGAGCACGCACTCGCTCACGCATGCCACGGGGTAAAAAAGCAGGCTGGAAAAAACGTGTGGACGAAGGAATTAGGTGCATCGAGCATTATTTACGAGTTCGTCTTGAAAAACTGCTGTCTCCTTTGGAGATTAAAGGAGCCTATTGAGGCCACCCGGTGGTGTTACGAAACCGGACGGGATAATATCAACGGGTTATGATAGGAATTTATTGGTGCCGCTTATTATCCTCTGTCACTGATAATTAGGGAAAGGCGATCAAACTTTTCCCTCGGCAATTGACTCCCCGAGCGGGGACTGTGTCAACTTACAGTAACACTCGCTTCACGTTCTATTAATAATAAGAACATTCTTCTTCTTCTCATCTAACATAAAATACTTTTTTCATACGAGCTTTCACGGTTTACAAGACTGATCCTCTTAGCTTCTCGCGTTATAATCCTAGGCACTTAAGAATTCGGTGAGGAATACGAGGGACGCCACGCGTCGGCGTGCCACCGTCGAAGATAGGATAGGATATTTCACGGCTAATGGGATCATCGCTTACATAATTATATACGGTTAGTCGAGTGGATTACTAGTTGAAAGTTAAGTGGCTCTTTGCGTAACGTGCACGGGGGAGGAAGTGAAAGAAAGGGAACCACGAGGGGGAGGCGTCTTCATTGCATGTTAACCGACACGTTTCGCTTAAAATTGAGACGAGAATTGCCCGGCAATTAAGATCGATTCGGAGAAACGGGGTCAGACGTGAGTATGTAACTCGTCGCGATTCGGCGAAATCACAATTCGACCGGATAAAACCTCGTTGTCGGATGAACCCGATGTCATTCCGAAAGCTGTTCGGTGCTGAATGAACGCGGGACTCCTGCGTGTAGCTGTTAGTCAGCGAGAAAATAATTTTCCGAGAAATTTCAATAATAACAATAAGTCAGTCACGGTAACGAATCAATGAGTCAGTCAGCGTTAATCGTTATTCGCATGCATTACGAGTTTCATCAATGATCAGCTTTTTCTAATTACAAACACCATCTGGGATTTCGTTCGAGTCTTCATTATCCATTTTATCTCAACGATTTGACTAATAAGTTTGTACAGGCTTTTTATGTTCATATTTTCATCAAAGCGTTCGGAAATGTTCGCACGGTTAAACGCGGTGACATAACGTCTCACAGAAAGGGAATTCTTCACATTTTACTGCCTTCGCAATGCGTTCCTTTTCTATAAATTCTTTTCAAAGAAGCATAAATTCTTACATCGACGGTCTCGTGGTTTTCATTACTTATTTCACGCACGCACACCAGTACGCGAACGCGACCCATTAACGCCGGGTACCATTGTCTTCGGAACCATTGAACGGAGATTGAACGGGGGCAACCTTTAAACAGTTTGTCGAAGGCGTCACGCGTAACTCTAGCTGTGCATTATTAATTCGCTCCAGAACATTGTTATCGTCGCGTTTGGAGAAGTACAACCCGATAAATGACAAAGTTCATCGATTGTAGGGCACGAGTTATCTAGCCGGCCGATTACACGCTTCCAGTTATGCTACGCGTAGCCAGCCTCTCTCTCTCTCTCTCTCTCTCCGTGATTTTTCTGAGAGTTTAGAATCGACGGTCATTCAACGAGCATTAACGTTTCGTAGCATTTTCAGTAATGAGTTCATGGGCGTTCTACTCTCTGAAAACGTCATTACTTTCACGATCTATAAAATTCATGTGCTATTTATGAAGCAGATAGGCAACGTAATAATAACGAAATTGGTACGGCGAATTTTCATTTTTTTCTGAAGTTTAATTGAGTGCTCGGGACTCGGGCACTTGATACGAGGAATGATAATTGATGCGACGACGGGATTAACGACGCGGCCGAACGACAGCGGTTAAGGTGGAATCACGTGAAACGTGCTTTTCTAATTGACCGTGACGAGATACCGCCTATGCGACTTTATCAGTGAAAAAGCTAGCTTTTCGATGACCTTCGTTCTCAAGGTTGCTCCTCCATTGACGTGACAATTCGTATAATTCGGATAATTCGACGCGAACATCTCGTATCGCCAGCACGATCTACAATGTAATCATATAATAATGAAAATAGAGTTGATCACAGGGAACTTCTTCATTGCGATTATTACATTACGTAGTTCTCTGCGTAGATTTTGACCCGTCTGATGCAAACGAGGTTCAGTTATTTCACTCAATTTTATAAGAACTCCGTTTCAATTGAAATAATAAAATGGAACTGAATGAAAATATTTTTGGTAGCTGTGAATCGCGCGCGGTACGAAACCGTTGATCGGATTGACGTTATCGCCTCGGCTAATGTCCTGTATTAAGTGAAATCAGGGGATCGAGCGTTAAGTCCGATTTTACTTATTTCACGTATCGAGATTCACCGGCAGAGATCCCACTATCGCGTGCAACGAGCTGCCAAGAATCTTTTACCGTAACAAACTAGTTCCCCCGGCTGCTACCAGCTATACGATACCCTCTCGCTAATGTCCAATACTTTTCCGGCTAATATCGTCGGAGTTGGTGGCTTTTGTATAATAAACCGTCGTCGCACCGGCTTCCACATTCCGATCGCCGGTCGATATCTTCCTTTTCTCGAGCCCGCCTTTTCCTACCTATAGTGTAAGCACTTTTCTGTTAGCTATCGACCAGAAAGGGTTCACTGCAGTAGAAACATAATAGGAAATTCAATTTCCATAGAAGCTTGATTATAAAGTCATTGTTCCTTCGATCTTCTGAAATAATTCAAATATATAGGATCTACCAGTCATTTAAAATTAGTGATGACGTCGTTCTATACTTCTCTTTAATTTTTTGTCGAAGCAGGAAGAATCGATAATTGACTAATGAATCGAGATCCTTGATTCCGAGAGACAAATGAGCGCTGTCGCGTATCTGCGTTTGTACGACAGAATCAAAGATCCCAATTGTAAAGTAAACCGCTGTTTATATCAATTGATTAGTTCTTTCCGGTTTAACGGAGGAAAAGATAACGGTGATTGCGTGCTAAGAAGGCTGAACCGAATATTCCGATTCATCAATGAATTCCTACTATCTCTTCTGAATGAAAGAAAAAAGTGAAACAGTAGGCGTTGTTGCGCAAACATCCTAATTGTACGCTGAACGTCGTGAACTTAGATTAAACGACAGTGATTCGACTCATCGAGGTTCCTACGCTTACCGAGAAGAAATATTTCGTACTCGATGGATGAGTTTACAAGGGGACAGACTAATCGTCATTTGCCAAATAGATTTTGTTAAATCCAGAATTAGTCTTCTATTCGCACCGAAACGAAACCGACTGAAATGAAACGAAATGAAACGCCGGGCGATAACTCTTGGCAAAGTGGGTTATCTGCTCGTTACGTTACGCGCGTTCGCAGTTCAATTCCCATTTTTCTTCTCGCTTTTGTACCCTTGTTCACTGGCGTGGTGGCCCATCTCGTTTCTATTAAGCCACGGCAACCTAAGTTCGCAATAATTCTAGACGAATTCAAACGGATGATGAACCATTATTATCCATGCCTTAGGAACAATTGACCGTTTCAAGGCGGGAACGTTCTTCACGTATTCGCCTGGGAACGTGGCTAAAAGATTGTTTCGTTCAGCCAATTCTCGCTGGGTCGACCTTCCACTGAATTAGGATGCTATTTCAAGTTTAATTCGTCACGTGTAATTACCTGAAGATTTGACCCGCTTTATCCGGAAAGAATCCCGTTCGATCGTTACATATTTTATGATCGGTACTGGCGGTCTAACTTCGTTTAAAACTGGTTGCCAATTAACGTTTAAAACTGAGAGTTCGACATAAATTATATACTTTGGACGTTTACGTCCGAAAATGCAATTCTAGTGGACTAGTTGATCCCATTTATTCTTTACTACAGAAATTATTAGCATATAAAACGTGTCAGGAAATTGGATTGGCAGGTTTCTTAAATAAATATGCGTTTCGAACATTCTGAATCTTATGAGAGTAATTCGAAGGCCAATGACCGCATTAATTACACAATTGCATGAACGCTTGCCTGCTTATTGCGAGACTGATAACGAGTTCTAGTACTTCATCATCGAGTATACGGTTTGCCAGTCGTAATTTTCTATCCCTCTTCCTCTCCTTTTTCGAGCCAGTACAATTTTCGAATTCGGCACCGGAGTTTCGATTTGCTTGATCAAGAAATCAATACTCGAATGAGTAGAAAAGTTTAGTATTATCTGGTCGTGTTTTCGTACCGGCTAAAAAGAAACACGGAGAGCACGTGATAAGTATTAAGACGCGCGGCGTTATGTCACAAGAACGAAAAAAAGAAGTAGAACAGAAAGTCGGAGCGATTTCATTAACCCGTTCCTGTCCCCCGGCGAAGTAAAAATAGAAGCGAGCTGAAAACAGTTTTATCGCCAGCGTTCCCACGTCTGAAACTCGGAAGGTCGGGGAATCTGTCAAATGCCCCGTGTGAGGATTCGATAAAAATTCTCTGCTCCCAACGAGTCGAATTTCAAATAAAAAAAACGGATATCCGTCGACGGTCCTAAAATTTGAAGGAACGCTCCAACAGGCGCAACCATATCTCTGATCTCACGAAAATTACTGTCCCGCGATCTACGATCACGATCGACAGCCGCGATACCTCGAATTGGCTGGTTCGCGTTTCACACTCTCAGGGAAGCTGCGTTCTCTGTACTCCTCGTTACGAGTACTTACGTACAACTGGATACTCACCCGAGAGGCGGCACCGATTGCAGGGTGTTATCCAGATCCAGGACGGTCGGGCTGGTCGTGTAACGTTGTTGCTGGCCCGCGCTCGACGCACCTCGGGGTAGAATCAGCATGAACCAGGCGGCGAGCAGCAACATCGCTCTCGACGTTTCGGCGATCATCATCGAGATTCGCGTTAACACTTCTCCACGCGTGTGTGACGATTCGTTCGTTCGTTACACGACCGATCGTCTCATGATCGATCGCAAACACGGAACACAGCAAGTCTCAAACGATATATCAACGCCGGTTGGCGATCGACACCGCGATCGGTTCCTCGATCATGGTTCCCGATCGATGACTGCTGGACGCTGGGTAATATGACGCGCGCGGAATTCTGTAATAAACGTGTCTCTGACGAGTACCAGAGGGGAATTTCTTTTCTATTTGCTACTAGTTCAAGCCGGAGGCTTCCGAACGGAATCGCAGACGGATTTGTTAATAATTTTACGTACCACGATTGAACGAAAATTCGAACGGCAAGGGTATCGTTGTTGGAAGTTCCCCGAATCGGAACAGTAATTGTAATTGAAATAATGGAACGCTTGTAATTACTCATTTCGCGCGAACAGTGAGAATCTCGCCACGTACGACGAGCGAGGAGACAACGGGAGATAATAAATTGTCGCGATTCCGTGCTCTGCTGACTATGACGCGTTTCCGGAAGCGCCAAATTGGTACGATGAGATAGATGCTAACTATCTTTTGATATACATAAATATTCACAATAGCTATTGTTCCTCCGTTTACAGAACTACCAGTCTGGTCTACGAAATTTAGTTTTAATGTTCTATGATCGTATCAAGATTTTATTTATCTACACCGAATACTGGAAGTTTACTCTGGCTAATAAAAAATTTGACAAGAGTACGAAGGTTTATCGTACGAAGAGTTTTAATACGAATTTCGGATACATGTGTTCAAAATATTTTCTTCGTATGCTAATCGAGACTTTGTACAAGACTGGGAAAGCCCTTTTCGGTGGAAAAAGGGAAAAAGGTTGGTCGGAAATTCGCGAACACATAGATACGTACACCCGCTTTCACTCGTTATCATAATATAAGAGCGGACCGAGCAGAGGCTATCATTAAAGTTCCATAAAGTCTGGTATGTTCCTGCTAAACTCGTGTAAAAACAGATCAGTCCGGTTCGCACGTTCTATTACTAACTAGAAGGAGGCAACGAATTGATAAACGCAGCGTTAGAGAAACGGAACAACGAATCCCACCCTCCAACGAATTCTCTGCTAATTAGTCATTGCGACAATGATTATTCACTCTTTGTTCTCAAACTAGATGAGCTACTTTAGGAGATAGAAGTTTTGTCAAATGTTTACATTAAATGAATTTCATAAAATAGTTTTAAGAAGATCATTTAGAGACGAGAGAGACTTCCAACAACGTCAAAATCTACTTCCGCCACTTTTGCCACTTAGCGTCATACCTGTTAATGAAACTATCAACATTACTCCGCCACGAGCAACTTAAAGTTCACTTTCAAGCTTCGGATCCAAGTTCCATTCATCGGCTTCGGTTACGCGACTCATACCCAGTAATTAAAAAAGGAAAACGGTCTTGCGATCCACCCTCTGATTCTTTTAATCCATCCCCCGAGAGGACGCAAGGTTGAAACTTTTCAGATAGAACGAAACACGGTGAGATAGAAGCGCACTGCACGTTTTCACGCGGTTTCCGCGGAGGGTAAAGGAAGACCGGAGGAGGGAACGAGCCCCGAAAAGATGCGGCGACGGGACTCGACGCGAGACTGGAGCAGCAGATTCTGAACGAGCCGCACCGAGAGAGGGCTCATCTAGAATCTAGAGGAGAGAAGAGGCCCTCTTTCCTCGTCTTCGTCTTCTCGTCCCTCCTCTTTCCCTCCTTCCTTTCCCTCTTCGCTCTGGAGCCCTGCTAAGCGCTGAGCGACCGCTGCGTCCAGCTGACGGCTGAGAGAACACCGAGACCCGGAGAAGAGAACACCAACGGATCCCACCCTGCCCTTTTTTTTTATCCTCCTCTTCGTCCTTGTCAACGCGCGTGAACACGAGACATTCGAGAAAATTGATACACTCCCAGATGAATAGGCATACAGTGTTTTTCTGTGAATCAGGAACAAATTCGAATTTTATTTTTGGAAACTATAATTAACGCGTTTTGGGGTTGCAAACTGGAAGTTGAAAAATTAATCAAAAAGGTTCGTTAAGAGCATCGATAAAATCTCATTGCGAATTCTAAACATTGTAACATCTTAATTAAGAAAACTTTCGCAATAAAATGTATGTGGATGGTCGTTATCGAACGAGGCTGATTGAGAAACGACATTGGCCTCTGCGTTCTGGACCAATAACCGTGTTAAGAAGCCATCGGCTTCCGGCCATTTCGATTAAAAACGTCCATTGTCAACGCTAATACTTGCGTCGATGTTGTTCCATGCTCGAGGATAAAAAGAAAACAAAAAATACACGCAAGTAGCAGTGAAAAATTTAATCGAACACGAAGGCACATTCTTTTTATTGTCGTTACGTAATCGCGCTGTCTCGTGGCTTTGCGTATGCGGGTGGTTGACAACGAGATGCAGATTCATCGAGTTTCCTTGACACAGAGGTTAAAAGTTAACTGTGTACATGATTAACTTCCTCGTTATCCTTTCATTGCAGCATTGTTCTTTTATAAACATAGTCGATAACCGTACATCTGCAGATATTTATGACCGTTGTACTATTTTAATCTGTTTCCTTTACCCACAATCGCAAAAAAAATTGATATGATCAACAAACTATGCACCATTATCGGAAATATTTATTCTAAACGTTTTTAATCGAATTTTTTAAATGTATGCAATTTTACGTAAATCTGCACGTGACTCAAGATAGTTTTATGCGTTCGCGAGGAGAAAAACAAGGCGAGAGATGACACAAAAGCTAACGGGGACACGAAAATCGCGTAGCGAAACCTTTACTCGGTTCGCGGCCCTCGAGCGCCGATAACAGCCATTCCGTAATTTTTCCGCGACTAAATGATTTTGTCCGTCGACGGTGAAAATTGTCGGCCGACCTTCACGCCGAGATCGGCGATGATTAACTGTGTCCATTTTCCCTGTTTTACACAAGCGGCCCGTTTAACGGCCGTAAAACGAGAGAAACTAGCGCAGAGGAGTTTTACTGATGCCGCCTGAGATACGTCAGCGTTCTGCGTTTTATGATCAACAATGTAGCTTTCTGTGGAATTAGAAGTTGCCAACGAGGTAATTAACACGGAATTTATTCAAGAATTTCACAACTAAGGAAATCAAGTATTCGAGGAAAGTATCCATGTTGTTGTTCGAGTGTATGTAGAAAATTGATCGAGGTTCGAGTTCTCCTTCGACTGTACTTTCTTCGCCGAGCTGAAATCACGTGCAGCGAGTCCAGACCCCTTGGAAGATGCCGTAACGACAAAAAGTGGAAGGTTTTAAAGTAAAAGTCACGCTGACGCGGAATAATCCATGACTAAACTCATACCTTCTTCATTCGGTTCTCCAAGTCTTAAGAACGTTCGTTTATTATGTACATAGAAAAGTTAACACGCTCCTCCATTCTCGGCCGGCGAATCAATCTTCATTTTCTCTATCTACATACTTTATTCACCGGTGCCCGTTCCATTAAATTCGAACATCAGCATGCTCCCGTTGATAAATCTTAATCTTATCCGGCAAGAGCTGTTGGTAGTCGTTGAACACGCGCGTGAGTCAGATGTATTTGTAAGGTGCATCGGTATCGGTGGTTCGTAAATGCCATCCGGATCGTAATTCGTTCGGCGACACGCAACAAACACGATCAACACCGATTACGCGTTCGCGATTACTGCCACCGACGAGCGAACGCGAATAGCTTCGGCAACGTGAATGCACCTGCAGTCAACGTGCACGCCACGAACGTTCGCGCTCCCGTGATTTATTACAGTATTCTATTCTTTTCTATACACTCACCATAATCAAACGAATTCCGAGTACTAAAAGTGGACTATAAAAGCAAATCATGTTCATCTTTTCTTTATTCCACCTATCACTAAATTTCTACGACATAAACCAAGAAACCAACCAACGGATAAAGGAAAGGCACATTAACCATGCGCAAGAGGATAAGATCGAACGTGAATGTTCGCAAAACGCTGTGTCTGTTCTTTGACCCAGACCTCGCTTCGCCGCGCAAGTTTTGTGTAATAATTTTGCTAGAGACGCGGCAAGGACTGGTTTCGGATGAAAAATGAAGGGACTGGATCGTACGTGGTACTTTTCTTTTCCAGTGGCGAGCGTCGTTAAAAGATACCCTCGCCGACGATGCTTACACGCATCAGTAAAGTGTGCAGACATCGGCTTACAGGAATGTATAGGCGACCTCAACCCCTTAAGCCATATACGTATACATCATTGAGGATCGTATGAACGATTATGAGTATCACGAATGTTGAACTCGCAAAAGTGTACTATGTCAATAATGTATTCCTTTTATTAATAAATTCATACTGAACACATGCTGGCAGAAGAAAATTCCTATCCTTAATTAACTGCAATTTTAAGAGGAGATAAAATCTATAAACTTGCACCCGTGATAGTCCGTCCGATTCAGATATGTAAATAGCGGTGAAAAATCGCGTACGCTCGGGATCGAGACGAAACATCGATCGTCATCGTTTAGAAGTATGATACGCGGTAGGTTCGTTTCATGGACTCGTCGGGAAAGTCGATGGAATCTGCGCGAGGAATGTCGCTTCACCGGAATATGCATGACGCTGGAAGTTCCGGCGATTAGTAAGGACAAGGTTCAAGTCAGTAATTAGAGACACTTTTCGCTGAACGGAATCGTGGCGGACTGTGTAAGCACTGCACCGCGGCGTTGTTAGCGCATATCTCAAACAATTTTTAGATCTTAAGTGTCGAAACTGTTCCGATAGGGAAACCGTGGTAAGGTAGGATTATATACGAGGTTGAAAACAAAATTAAACGTGTAGCATCTTCTATTTAAGCATCGCTGGAGCAAACGGATGCTCGACTGTACTTAGGCTTATACTCTACCTAGGCTTAATTAGTCTAATTAAATATTCTGTTCTTATTGAACCAGAGGATATTATAATTAATTTTAAACTCGGACCATCATCGGTCCATTAAGTATTCTTCGATTTTTTGCTCTTCTTCGTGTTCTTGGTAGACTTGATGGTCTTAGTTTGAGTCGACTTGGTGCTGGGGGGTGCCGAAGGTTTCATACTGCGCACGTATAAGTTCCGCGCGTCGTACGCGTCGTCCAACGCAGCTCTTCTGCACCAAAAAGATTCTTTGTACGTGCCGTAAAGCGAATCCTGCTGTTCCTGCTGCTTCTTCATTAGACTGTTCAACTCGTCGAGGAAGTACGCGTAGTCCTCTTGAGCGTAAATGATGTTCATCATGCGAATATTCCTCATCATCTCCTCGTCCGCGTCCGTCTTCACCCACGACTCGTCCTCTTCGTCCTCTTTGATCTTGTACAGCGAAACGTTCAGCGGTGGAAGTCTACGAAGCGCCGAAGGCGGCTTCAAGGTCCTCTCCTCGAAACGAGACCCCATTGATAGCTCGGACGTGTCGCCGATCAGCGACGGTTGACTGTCCCTCTTTGTCACCGATCTCATGGAATGACTCGATGATTTCCTTTCGAACGAACCCGCCGAGATTTCTGGTCTCACCTCGTGTTTCTTTATGAAAGCTTCCCGCAGTTCTCTGCCGCGTTCCAAACTGTCAGGGTTCTCCTTTGCCCATTCCTCCTTCATCCGCGCTATCGCCTCTTCTTTTGTCCTATCTTGCGATATCTAGACGTCGAAGGAGTCGTCATCTTTTATCTATTTACCAGAGGTAATTTTACTCTAATAAGCCGATTGTCATGCATACCTCTAATCCGCTTTCGGAGTCGGTGACCACTTGGAGGATCCAATAAGGTGACTCGAGGGTGGAACTATTGTCGACCGATTGCTTCGAAACTTTTCTCGATCTCACGGACTCTGCCTTGGATACTCTGCCCGCGCTCAAGCAAGAGGGTAGCTTCGTTTTCATCACAGAACCCGTTGGTTTTATCTTAAATTCTGACACCAAACACCATTCCGCCCTCGTCAACGGCCAACTGTCATCGAGCACCGTAGCTTCCACGTGATAAACTTTGTCCTCCTCGATCGTTGTCTTCGATCCACTCTTGTCTTTTTCTAAATCGTTTTTGCTTTCGGTTTCACCTTTTCCGACCTCGCCAGAGTAAATGCTACCCTCCTTCTCTTCCCGAGAATCATCAGGCTTTAAAAATTCGATCGAGCTCGACTCTTTTTCGACTCCGAGATACACCATCGGCAAAATGACTACGTACGTTCCTTTTATTTGCGACAATACACGACCTTTCGTGTTTGTCACACTAAATTTCATTCTCACTCTCTCGTACGACACCCTCAGCCTGAAAGACACTATACTAGGCTTCGCCACTCGTACGATCCATTTGGAGATGAAATTCTTCGAATTTGGAATATAGCTATTCGATAATTCTTGCATCGTCAACAGAGGAGGCGTCGTTATCGTTGGAATCCATTCTTCGTTAGTCAAGAAACGAAATGCCGGTTGTCCTTTAACTGTAGTTATACTCAGGGTCCAGGGTAGTTCCTTCAACGTTTGCTCGTTGCTCCAGCAATAACAAAATATCGTGTAACCCAATTTCGTGTATGCATACCGAGTGGTAACCACGTTGTTAATCACTCGTACCATCTCCAAGTCAGTCTCGTTGTTAAACGCGCGTACACAATACCTCTCTATATCTATGAATAAATCAATATTCGCTGTGACGGTTTCAGCAACTTGAGAGTTCACCACGAACCTTGCAACAGGCAGCCACTGATTCGGTTTCACATTCGTCAACGTGCCCTTCAATTCCTGCTCTTGCAACGTGTACTCGAAGTCTCTCGAGCAATGATAAATTTCGTACATCTTGTCATGGTGCTTCAACATGTTCCTTAGTATTTGATTCGCTAGAGATTCTCGTTTATTATAATTAAACAACTCCGCGATCTTCAGCAAATTTGTTAAAACCTGTTCGTGCTGTCTATGAGTAGGATCGTGGATTCTTCGATACTTTCTAATAATAATCATTTTGAAAAACGACTGTATCACGTTTGCAGCTTTCTGCTTCTCGAGCGTGATCTCGTCGTCGATAGAATCCTCTCTCTGCTGAAATAGACTGCTTCCGTATTTCTCAGTGTTCATTTCTCGTAGACTCTCTATCAGCGTCGAAATCGATTTGAATCGTTCTGTGCCAATGGTAGGATCTAAAAAGAATATTCTCAAAGCCCGCACCATATTTGGGAACTCGTTCTCCGGCACGATTCTTCTAATGAACTGCACCTTCTCCTCGAGAAAATAATCGTGTATCTGATTGTAAAACAGTTTGTTCTCCCACGTTCGTTCCGCGGCAGGTGGCAAGTAGCTGCTATAGTAAACCCTCAATCCGTCTAAATATTTTTCGGTGCCAAACGTTTGGTACGCGCTGCTGACGGAGTTGCTGACGTGCTTCGCGATCGTGTCGACTGTTTCAGACTCGGTGCACATCAACTGGTACATTTTCTTCTTGTCACCCACGTGAAAAATCGTGTCCGACGAGATCGTGACGTAGCAATCGGACACCGAGTGACAGTAGAGTCGCAGCAGGTGCCTGCCACGATTTATTTCCAGCACCGTCGACTTCGTACCCGCGGTCACGATCGACGCTAAGCAATTCGATTTTTCCGCTCTATGGAAGAAGCTGTGCTTCTCCACGATCAGACTGTCCTTGTTTCCCTCCAGTATCACCTTGGAGGAGGTGATATCCTTTTGGTCGTAGTTCTCCTCAAAAGTGTCGACGGAAACTTGGAACGTGGAGAAGTTGATCAGGAAGAACTTTTCGTCCAACGAATCGACGAAGATGTACAAAGGTTCGTTTCTTGTTACTTTTATCTCGTGCGGCCAAGTATACGTATCGACGAATTCAGAAACCTTCAACACTCTGTTCAGCGAGCTTCTCCTGCTGCTTTTCTTCTCTGATTTCTGATCGTACGATTGTTTCGTCGCGAAACGATCAGACAATCTCGCAGTATATTGGAAATAATCTAGTTTGTAGAAAAAGTGAACATCTTTTATAAAAGGCTCCATTTTGTTGAAATCCGCCCAGAAACTAATATCTCGCAGCGGCAGCTCGTCTTCGATCTTTTTCTTAGTCTTCTCTTCGGTCTCCCGCTTTTGATATTTACTTATCGATGTTCCTACGTCAGTCTGCTTATCCGTGATACTATTTTGAATATTTTCCTTTGTGTTCGTATTATATTTGTTAATCACACTCTCTTCGCACTTTTTTAACGGGCTAACGACTTTCAACGACCGTATCGGCACGAAGTATTCGATTGGGTCGATTATTCCTTCACTGATTGCCCATTTCAACCATCGAAACAGCTTCCATCTCGCTAACGGAGGTTTCACCTGTGTTTCGTTTCAATATTTTTATCACTCACCATCTACATTTTCTATTATCGTGTTTCGATTCGGTTACAGGACGTACATCTTTGGGATCCAATGGAATATCACGAGACTGAGATATATAAATAAAATGACTCAGGCAAGGGGCTAAATCCGACGTAATATCTGAAGATACTTTCTTCATTTCCTCTAAACCGAGAAATAGAGTGATTGGTTCGGGCTTAGTTAACGATTTCAATTTAGATTTATCAGTTGTCGCCTTAGACTTTTTCGAATGCTCCGTTCCCTTAGATCTTTTCGTCCGCGCCGTGCTGCTTTTCGCATCTTTGCTCTTCTTAGACCTTGTAACTACTATTTGTAAAGAGTTAATATTTTTGCATAAGCAGTACATGGGAGGGAATTAACCTAGGCTTTCCTGATCCGGGACTTCCGCTTCCCATTCGAAATGATCCGCGTACTTCCTTAAGAAATCCCATTTATCTTGAGGAGATAAATACGCGATGTCTAGCCTCAGACAAACCCAGCCTATTTTTTTACAAGGAATGACGAATCAGAAAATCAGATGGATTTCTGTAATCTTTGTTCCGTTTTACCGGTTAGACAAGTGACAGGATGAAAATCTACGATTTCGTTGTAGCCGCACCAGGTCAGCGCGCATAATTTCAATACAGCCTTGGATAGAATCATTGGCCATAGTTCAAAGTTGTTTATAGTTCGAGGTAAAAGTGGAACTTTCTCTGCATCCACTGGTATCATATCGTCAACCAGAATCTGGCGCCAGGCTCCCAGAAAATACAGTCTCACAATGTATTTGCCTTAAATACAATAAAATTACTTAATAGTTTCAATTTCTTATTCTTAAGGATGTATTGGCTATACAGTCAATCCCAAAAGTTTATGCACTTTAGAAACGCATTTTTTAAAAAGAAGTCAGACGTCGGAAGAACATT